CCGCTAGCACTCCCGGGGAGGCTCCATCTATTGGTGGGGAGCAGCACCTGCTGGAAAGCGGGTCCAGCGTCCCTGAACATTCTGAAAAGAGTGTATGAGTGAACAGATGTATTGAAGTGGTGTTTGTATCCTATTGGGTCTGTTAGCCCAGGGTGATGTTGGCCAGTTGTCAGTCTGGGTTACTGCGGTGTTTGTCTCATCTGGGGCTGTGGCTTTTCCTCCTGTCAGTCCAGGGCCCGGTTGGCCAAAAAAACATATCTTTCTTTCACTACCTACCTACCACTACTCCTATGGCTACACTCGGGACCGATGCAACCATAGTTTTCTACCTCTCTTCGGTGAAGGGAGGTTACCTCTCTCGGTGGAGTGAAGATAAGTAAGGGCATGTTTTCCCCTTCGGCATGCCGTCGCGGTTGGGGCCGCCGGTGGGGCCCCATTAGGGACCGTGGGAATCTTCTTAGAAAGAAAGAAAGGATTCTATACTCCGGGGCATTGCTCTTGGTCAGCTCCTGATGGAAACGAGGGGTCTCCCTAAGTGGAACCTCCCCCCCAGTGGCTTTGCACCTCCTGATGTACCCATCCAGGTACATCCCGACTTTTAACCCACAGCGCAGATTCTGAAGGGAATGTGCGAGTAAGGGCGGACAGAGAGGACGGCCCACTATGAACGCGAGATTCATCCGAGAGACATGTAGGTGGGAGCGGCCGTACTTATGAAAGGGGCTGAGGCAGAACGGGTGATGGCGGAATCAGCTAGGGGGGAGGGTCCTTGCCATCACAGAGGGGGGAGCAAAAGCAGGAACACACCACTTGAGGCGGGCATCATACGCACATCATAATCTTTTTTTTTTTTTTTTTAAAGGGGAAACTAGGCGGGAGTCACAAAAACGAGTTATAATTGCACTATGGGCCAAGATACAGTTTCGAATTGCAGTTCGAGCAATGTATACAACCCAGCTTTCTGGCCAGGTAGGGTGGCCGAGGTGCAATTGCAAACTGCATCTTGGCCCATAGTGCAATTATAACTCGTTTTTGTGACCCTAATTTTTTTTAAAAATGCATTGGAAGGAGTGTTTCTGCAGTCTGGGCAGGGCCGCAGTTTGAAATGTAGTCCAAACTCCAATTTGCGGAAACCGAAGTTTAAGGCTACAATCTAGTCCCTCACGTGGGAGGGTCCGACAGACACTGTAAAGGCCCTGACACAGGCCTGGGGTTTACGTTCATGGTCCGACACATTCGGGGAACTGCTAGGGTGAAAATGTGCACA